AGAAAATGAAAATATTGGTTTCTACTAAATATACGTAGATTTCAAAATTTAATATAAAAAAATTAATATTAAATAAATTAAGTTAATAAGTAAAATTTATCATATTTTAATTACATTTTGTTCAGTCAAATGTGATTAAGAAATTAAATTATCCAATATAAATCTTTTAATAACGTGGAGAAGCAATTGTAGATAAAATATTTCAATATAGTTGATAATAATAGCTAAAAATGAGACTAAAAATATAATAAAAAGAACACTCTTTTACATAATAAAGTATTATAATATTTGATATTATATATAAATAAAATTAATCTTTGAAAAAATCCTTGAAAAAGTGTAATTTATGACTGTATTAATTACTAATTCGAGTATAACATTGTGTTGTATATTTATCCTCATTTTATTAATTTCTTTTCTTAATTTTTTAATTTTTAAATTAATTTTAAAATTATCACATTTTCTTTATAATATCTAATATTTAAGAAAATATATGTATCAGAAATATATGTATCAGAATATAAATAATATAATGTATATACACGGAATTTACAATACAATGAGTATTGTGTATTATGGAAAGGTACGAAAGATAAAAATGAAAATCATTTAGGAATATTGTATGTCATGAAAATTTTTAGATGGACTTTGACAGACTCAAAAACACATCATCGCTTGGAATGCCTTAGGCGTTTACTCTTCTACCACCACCACCACTCATCTCCATTATCATGTAACTTTCCTCTATCGGCAGAACGATCAGTACTCATACCAAACTGCAGCATATTCATGAAAACATTCTCTGCGAAACAAACGATAAGTAATATCTTGAAGTATCAATTCACTTTTTTCGCCGATCAGTAACATTTGACACGAAATTGTCGTATATCATAAAATTGTAAGTAATATTATAGTTTTTCTTTATTATTTTCTTTATTGGAAGCGATTTAGACCATTTAGATCACACAATCATAAACTTGCAAAATGATTATCAAAGCACTTGTATAGTTGCAAGTCACGCACAAAATATACGCATAAATATAAAGAGATAATCTCTCTTATTACAGTAAGTTACATACAGTAAGTTACAAGTAAAAATTCTAATTAGCGAATATGATTATTGTCCAACTTGATAACAATGTACGAATGTTTAGTTAAATATTATATTTTTAGCAAACATACAATCTCAAAGAAGCTTTATCAATTCATGCTTATATATCATCTTATTTTTCAGTTGATTAATGTCCCCCAGATAAAGTGTGACTAGTGCAATTGCAATTGGCTTGTTACTACGGCAGTCACTGGATAGTCACTGCACAGAAGGTAACGGCTTACGTAAGGTGTCAAACCTATTGGACGTAATACGTAGTGACGTGATACGAAATCGCAGCGGCTCTAATAAATCAACATGAAGACGTTGCTATTTATTTTCCTTGTAATGTTGACTTGTGATCAAATCGCTGATGGTTACCGGATTCTTGGTATGTTTCCGTTACACGGCAAGAGTCACTGGATCATGCAAGAGGCATTGATGAAGGCTTTGGCAAAACGGGGTCATCAAGTGGACGTCTTCACGCATTTTCCACAGAAGAAACCTATACCTAATTACACGGATATCAGCTTGAAGGGCAGTCTTCCGCAAGTAGTGAATAATGTTACTGCAACAGAAGTATTAGGTTTCAGCACTCCGTCTATAGCCAAACTGGTTGAAATGGCTGGAACGAACATTTGTGAATTATTGAATCATCCAAAACTGCAAGACCTGATCAAGAATCCGCCACAAGATCCCCCATACGACATCATCATTTTAGAGGTATGCTCGATATTTCCCAATATATTTTCAACTTTAAATTATGGATTTTTTTTATGGTTTTTATCTATG